CGGCGGGCGGGACCTCGTGCGGGGTGGGCGTGCCCGCGGCCCGCGGGGATAGGGACGGGGGTGTCTCTTCCCTCGCCGGCTCCCTCCCGCCCCTCGGCCGGGCCCCCTCACCCGTGGCGGCCGCTACGCTGGCCGCGCTCCAGCGAGATGAGGTAGGCGGCGAGCTTGGCGTCGCTCCAGCCGCTGCGGCGCCGCAGGTCCACCCAGGGCCCGTGCGCCTCGCCCAGATACACGCGCCGCACGTCGTACTTCTTCCGGGACTCGAGCCGCCGCCGGGCCCGGTCTGACTCCGTGAGCCGCGGCCGGCCCCGCGCCTTGCGACTCGCCGCGCCCTCCTCGGCCGCCGCCTCCCCGCCTGCGTCCAACTCAGCCTCCGCCTCCGCCTCCGCCTCGGGCTCCGGCACCCGCTCCGCCATCCCCCCCACCCTAGTTACTAGCCTCCCCCGTTGTTAGGAGCCGTACCGGAAGTGGCGCGCATCTTCCGCGCCGTCGGGAAATTTCTTACGGACTCTTACTGCCCTGCGGCGCCAAAAGGAGACTCTCAGCTACAGCTGCGCATGCGCGCAACCCCATTCTTTACGCCGCTTTTTGTGTTGAACTTTCTAACTTCACTTAGCGGGCGGGAATAAAGTTTATGCTCACTACTCGAATAGGCGAGCCCGTAGGCCCTAAGGAGTGGGAGGAGCCCACTGCAGATTCCTTAAGATCCTGGGGAGGGGATGCTGCATAGCTACAGAGGGAAGGCAGCCCCAAGGAGGAAAATTTTTATTTGCTATACACGCAAACATAATTTTGCACTGTCACACCAGTCCAAAGCCTCCTCAGATTCAACTCTGGCCGTGCTGCTGTCGCTGCAGACGCTCATCTTCCTCCTGGCCCTCATGCTGGGACTGGTGTGAATCCTCCAGTCCTGATGCTGCCAGGAGCTCCCCAGTGGACCCCGCCAGGCGGAAGACCACGGGGATGCGGGCCAGGGCTGGGTTGGTTTCCTGCAGGCCCTGGATCCACTTGGCTAGAGTCTCCTGGTCGTGGGCACCTGCCACGCATATGGCGAAGACTGGGCCTTCCTCTACTGTTGGGAGAGAAGTTTGGGAGACGTTGGCCTAGTGGGCTGCAGCGGCTTCCTTTGCGCACGCCCCCTTAAGATGCTCTGCCTCCTGTCCTGAGTCCTGCCCGCAGCTGTGCCTTCGGCCTGCACAAGGTGCCCACCCGCAGGGCTGGGACTATTTCGGTGAAATCCGGTGGAACTGGGCTACACAGCCAGGCCCAGCATCCTGGGGCACAAGACATGCGGTACGTAAATGGCGTCTCAATCCGGGAGCGCAAAGGGCACAGGGTCCTGTGGGGCCGAGTCCTACCTTCATCAATATCAAACTCATAGTCGTCCCAGCCGCTCCGTGCATAGTCCAGGTCCAGCTTCATCGGGTGGTAGAGGTTCCACTCCTCCGGGATCTCCTGCTCTTTCTGCCTCAGCATGGAGCAGACAGCGTCAGGCCGGGGTCTGGCAGCCCCTCCTCCCCCAGGCCCCGTGCAGGCCCGAGCTCTTTCTTACCTTCTCTTCGGGGGGCAGCAGGTCAGCCCTGAGGATGTGGTAATAGACACACTTGTTGCGCAGCCACAAGGAGAAGGGTCCCTCCACGAAGAGTGGCCGGGCTGGGTTGTGGCAGGCCAGGGCGTCCTGCTGGTCGGGACTCTGGATGCCTGGGGTGGAGGGAGACGTGTGTGGGTGCTGGGCCCAGGTTGGGGGGACCTGTCAGGGCGGTTGCCCAGCGTGGGGCAGGGCTCACCTACGATGTGGGGCTGAACGGAATCTACTGGATCTGTCCCGTCATCCGGCAAAGGCTTCTGTGAGGAAGAGTGGGAGAAGCTTGTGACCCTCAGGTGCTACAGAGAAGCCAGGAGGGGGACGAATGGGGACGCCTGCAAATCTAGGAAAGGTCTACATGTCAGGGAATCCTGTTCTCTCTGATCTGGCTGAAGCCATCAACATTTCAGATTCTCACACGGAGGGAACCCTGAAGCCAGTCATCTACTTTAACATCCTGGCTGTTAAGCCAGGAGTGGTGGCACACACCTGTAATTTAAGTGCTCAGGAGGCTGAGGCAGAAGGATCGCCATAAGTTTGAGGCCAGCCTGGACTACTTGGTGAGACTTTGTCTCAAAAAAAAAAAAAAAAAAAAAAAAAATCCTGGCTATCGTAATCTGTGTGACCTTGGCCAAGTCATTGTCCTTGCATGCCTCAGTGTCTCCAGATGCCAACTAAGTACAGTAATAGCCTTCAGGTGACACTAAACCACCATTTAGATCAGTACTTAGCAAACTGCTTTGAATTTAAAAAAAAATAATTTTACACCACAGATATCCCAGGAATCAAATAACACTGTTTTGGCTTTTTGAGGACCTCACCATACAGCTCAGTCTGGCCTTGAACTCACTACAGAGCCCAGGGTAGCCATAAACTCGCAGTGATCTTCCCGCCTTAGCCTCCCCAAGTGCTGGGGTGACAGGTGTGTGCCACCACATGTAACCTATCTTTTTCTTTTCTTCATGTGTTCCCATCAACCTGAACCACCAGAGGTACATATGTGTCTGTCCCCTTAGGTGGCTGTCCCCATGCCACCTGATGAGACTTCATGCCAGCTGAGGGGACAGTCCTGCATGCACTTCCAGTGGCTCAGGGCCATGCAGCAAGACATACGAATTAAGACCCTGTGGAGAATGCTTTAAATACATGTGCAGTACATTGGACTGCTTGAGCTATTTTTTTTTTTCTTTTGAGACATGATCCCACTATGTAGTTCAGGCTAACTTTGAACTGACAGCAGTCTTACCGCCTCAGCCTCCCAGGTGCTGGGATTACAGATGTGCAGCACCCCGCCAGGCCAAGTCCCCAGCCTCAGATATTTTGTCCTAGCAACAGCAAATGTACGGGGGCTGGTGAGATGGCTCAGTGGTCTAAAGCACCTACTTAGAACAAGCCTAGCTAAAGCACAGGGACCGCAGTTCAATCCCCCAGCACCACATGCCAGCCAGCCCCGCCCCCTGGTGGGCTGAGATGGCCACACACACACAAAATAAATAAATAAAATTTAAAAAAAAAAAAAAAACAGCAAATGTACGAATAGCAGCCCAAGGGCCAGAAACAAAGGCACGCTGTGGTAGGGAGCGGGGCTACAGGAATCTACCAGAGAGCTCAGCCTGCAACTCGGCTCCTTTCATTTAGCAAAGTCACCCAGTGCATGGCGGGGACTGAGGGACGGCAGCCGCCAGCCTGGACAGGGGCGGGTACCTGGTAGACGGTGACCCTGGCGCTGAGGTCGGGCTCCATGTGCCGCAGGCCCAGCGTGGCCAGCTCCACTGCATCCTGGGGCAGCTCGCGCGGCACCGGGAAGGGGTTGATGTTCTGGAAGCGCGTGAGCCACAGGCGCATGCGCACGTACTTGAGCATGGGGTGGCTTCCGCGCCCGAAGATCTGCAGCAGCAGGAACTCCGTCTCCTTGTTGGGCATCACTCCTGCGCTAGGCACAGAGGTGAGAAGGCGTGATGGGACAGGGGCAGAGGCAGGAGGGCAAGGAAGAATTGCAGCGTGTGGCTCAGAGGCAAAGCACTTGCCTGGCATGCGGGAGGCTCTGGGTACCATCCCAGCGTGGGGGAGGGGGGAGCAGAATTTAAAAAGGAAGAGGCCCAAGAAACCAGAGAAGAGGAAAAAATAAATAAATAAAATAAAATAAAATTAGAAAAGATTCAGCTGGGAACGGAGGCGCACACCTCATCCCGGGCCAAGGCAGGAGGGAGGATACCTGCAGGTGTGAGGACAGAGTGGAGGTACACAGTGAGTTCGTAGCCAGAGTGAACTAAGTAGAAAGACCCTTTCTCAAAAAACGAAACAATAAATAAAAAATAATGAGACTGAACAAAGGAGGAGGAGGCAGCAGCAGGGGCCGCCTCGCTGCCTCACCGTGGTTCTCCATCTGCTCCAGCACGGCCACGCCACACTCCTGCTGCCGCGGATAGTGGATGAAGATGCGCTGGAATATGTTGCGCGGCCGGAAGACCTCCTTGGGGAAGATGTCCAGCAAAAGGTTGTAGGAGGCCAGGTCGCGCTCTACGCCATATGCGGGCATCTTGCGCAGCGCCAGGTAGATGAAGTCCACGTGGCCACGCTTGCGCACGCTGTGCTGTGCGAAGCTCTGGACAGCGAGCGCAAAGCTGGCCTTGTCTCTTGTGCCGCCTGGCGTCGGCTGGAACAGCTCTTCATGAGGCACAGGGACTTTCCCAGGCTTCTTCCCAGGCTCCCTGGGTCGAGGAACCAGGGACTTCATGGAGGCGAGGGGGGTGGTGCTGCAGTGGAAGGCCCGGGGGAGGCGGGGCGACACCTAGGGACAGAGGGCACTGCTGGAATCCACAGTGTTCCTAGGACCTGGGAGTTCCTAGCTGACTTCTCCTGGGAAAGATGGCCCTGGAGGGCCCAAGGTCCCCCATGGGAGTATGGCAGAGAGATCACAAACTCAAGCTTGGGGAACCAGGCTTGGCGCTGCAGGCTCAGGAGGCTGAGGCAGAAGGGTCGCTGTAAATTCAAGGTCAGCCTGAGACCTTGCTCAAAAGCAAAAATGGGGGGGGGGGCCCTGCCCCATAGCTCAGTTCTTTAAGTGGCTGCTTCAACAAAGCAGTCAGGCTCAGGTTGCTGTGGTTCGATCCCCACAATTCCAGCCAGCCAAACCTGTTCTGAAGGCATTTGGAGCAAAAGAAAAAAAAGCATAAACTAAACCAAAAAATAAGAGACAGAGACAAAAAACAATGTTAAAAACAGTAAGGTGAGCACTAGGCACAGGGCGTCCAACTGTCTATGTCCATCTTTACAAGTGATTCAGGAGGAGCCCACAGTCAGCCCCCAAGACTTAGCCCCCGTGTCAAAGCTAACACCTCACCTGTACAGACACCGAGCCCCCTAGGTGAGTCTTCATGAGCCTCAGTACAGGGCAGCTGGCTTTGTTTCTTTTTCTTTTTTTTGGCGGTACTGGGGATTGAATTCAGGGCCCTGCGCTTGCCTAGAGCTTATTCTACTGAGCCATCTCCCCAGCCCCCAGCTTTGTTTATTTTCCGAGGCAGGCAGAGTCTCACTGTAGCCCAGGCTGGCTCTGAACACACAGGAAGTTTTGTGCTTTGGCCTCCCAAGTGCTGGGACAGCAGGCCTAGATGAGCTGGCTCCTCTGGGGAGACGCTGAAGGGGATGAGGGAGAACCCCAGGCGTCCTCCTCACACCCCATGAATCCCCCCTGCTCATGGTTACCTGGGAGAGGAGGGCTCCGGGGAGGTCAGCGCTGCAGAGGCCAGCCCAGCCCTTCAGGAGGCCGCGGGCCAGCAGCCTGGCCCGCACACAGCTCATGCTGGAGCTTGAGGTCTCAGGTCAGGCCAGCCCCACCTGTGGGGAGAGAAGAGGTGCCGTCAGCCTGGGACAGCTGGGCCTAAACGACTCATGTACCAGCCATCCTGGTTTTTGTTTTTTTTTTGGTGGAACCGGCGATTGAACTCAGGCCCTTGCGCTTGCCAGGGAAGCGCTTATGAGCCATCTTCCCAGCCCAAGCTGTCCTGGTTCTGCTGGGCCAAGCTGTCACCTTCTTCTGGCGCTTGCTTCTGAGCCAGCCCTTCCCCACTGGACCACTTGTTTTTTGTTCTTCCTAACATTATCTGTTGTCTATTAGGTTAAAAGGCTCATAAAGTGTTCTGTTGCCTTTTTGTTTCTCAAATTATCTTTTAAAATGTAAATAAGACCCTCATATGGCAGCTCAGGCCTGTCATTTCAGTACTCTGGGAGGCTGTGGCAGGAAGAGCCCAAGTTCCAGCCTGGGCGGCTTCATCATTTACAGCGATCCTGTCTCAAAAGAAACTTAAAAAAAAATCAAAACGGGGATGTAGGGGCCAGGGAGATGACTCAGTGGAATAAGCGCTTCCCTGGCAAGCACAAGGGCCTGAGTTCAATCCCTGGTTCTGCAAAAAAAAAACAAACAAACAAACCCAAAACTGGGGATGTAGCTCAGTGCAAAGGCGCTGGGTTCACTCACCTGACCCAAAAGCAAAAAGCAAAGAAAAAAAGGATGTGGGAAGTCAGCTTAGTGGCACAGTGCATGTGTAAGGCCCTGGGCTCCTTCCCAGCACTACAAATAGTTTCTGAGAATTCATTTATTACCTTGGCACCAGGGGACAGAAGGCGCAGACCCCAGCTCCGCCCCATACGCAGCTTGCGAGGCTGCTGCGTGCTGCACACTGAAGGCTGAACTTAAGTAAGGCTGTGGGAACCTCGTGGCCGAGTCCCCCAGCAGCAGCAGCCGCCACCAGGCCTGAGAAGTGACAGGGTGCAGCACAGCTGCAGGCTGCAGGGCGCCCTCTGGAAGGACCAGGCCTCCCCTCTTTTCCCACACCAGGGATCCAGCCAAGGCCTTTTGCATGCTAAGTACACGCTCCAGCGCTCAGCTCAGCCCCCAGGTTTTAGGGTTCTGACTTTGTTTTTAACATTTCCAGAGTCTGTGATCATCACTGTGATCCAATCTAGAACACTTCTGCCAGGGTGCAAGGCTGGAATCCCAGCACTTCGGAAGTGTGCGGCCAGTGGGCTATACAGTGAGTTCAAGGCCAACCCGAACTGCATTAGCCCGACTCACCTCAGAAACCAATCCCTGCTGGGTGAGGTGGTGCAAGCCTGTGACCCCAGCACTCCGGAGGCTGAGGCAGGGCGGCTGCTGTGAGCTTGAGGCCAGCCTGAGCTACACAGTGAGGTCTGTCTCAGAACAAAATGAAACACTACCCCACCCCAGAGATCTTCATATATTTTGGATGGATCCAAGATTTTTTTTTTTTTTTTTTGGCCAGGAGATTGAAGTTTTTGCTCATTTTGTTTTTTGAGACAGGGTCTTGCTATATAGCCCAGGCTGCCCCTAAGCTAATTATATAGCCCAGCCAGGTCTTGAACTTGCAGCATTCGTCCTGCCTCAGCCAAGTATTGGGATTACAGGTGTGCACCATCATGCCCAGCTTTGAACCCATAGTTGGTTTTTGTTTTTTTTTTTAAACTTTTATTTTTTATTTTATTTAATATTTATTTGTTTATGTGTGTGTGTGTGTGGCCAGCTCAGCCCACCAGGGGGCGGGGCTGGCTGGCATGTGGTGCTGGGGATTGAACCGAGGTCCCTGTGCTTTTAGTTTGTTCTAAGTAGGTGCTTTAGACCACTGAGCCATCTCACCAGACCCCATAGTTGGTTTTTGGTTGGGGTTTTTTTTTGTTTTTGTTTTTGTTTTCAGAACCAGGGATTGAACTCAGGCCCTTGCACTTGCCAGGAAAGCGCTTATTCTACTGAGCCATCTCCCTGGCCCCTGAACCCATAGCTTTTGAACTGACCTATACTTATAATTTATTATTATTATTATTGTTGTTGTTTGTTTTGCAGTATCAGGGAATGACCTCAGGGCCCTGCACTTCTTAGGCGGAAGCTTATTTTACCGAGCTATCTCCCTGGCCCTGTATACTTATAACTTTTTTAAAAAGTTATTTAAAAAAGGTTTCATTGAATCAGCAAGGTGCCCAGGCTGGGTTCAGACTCCTGTCTCAGCCTCCCAGAGCATTATGACTACAGAGGTATGCCACCCTACCCAGAGTCTTTATGCAAATACTCTCTCCCATTCTGGGGATTGTCTTCTCTTTTATTTTGGTTTTGAGATACGGTCTTCTTATGTTGCCTAAGCTATTCTTCAATTGCTAGACTCAAGCAATCATACCTCTGCTCTCTAAATGCCTGTGCCATCATTCTTATCTCTTTCACTTTTTTATGGGGGTTAAGACAGGGTCTTTTTTTTTTTTTTTAATAAACTCTTTAAGTACCAAGAATCTGTTTTATTTATTTATTTATTTATTTATTTATTTATTTATTTATTGGTGGAACCGGGGATTGAACTCAAGATCCTTGCATTTGCCAGGCAAGTGCTTATCCTCCTAAGCCATCTCCCCGGCCCCTAAGTCAGGGTCTTGCCTTGTAATTTTGACTGGTTGTGAACTCCCTGTGTAGCCAAGCTGGTGCTGAACTTGTGTCCATCCTCCTGCCACAGCCTCCAGGGTGCTGGGATTTCAGGCATGTGCCACCAGGTTTGGCCTTGTTTTTTTCTTGCCATTTTCATTTGCAGCCAGTTAAAAACATATTTTTGAAAAAAATATTAATTTTCAAGTTAAAAATATTTTAATGGGGGTGAAGTCCAATTTAGCTTTTCTTCTGGAGCTCTGTTATTTGTGTTATATCTAAAATACCACTCCGGGGCCGGGGAGATGGCTCAGTGGAATAAGTGCTTCCCTGGCAAGTGCAAGGGCCTGAGTTCGAACCCTGGTGCTGCCCAAAAGAATAATAAATAAAAAATAAAAATAAAATACCACTGCTTGCTGGGGGTGGTGGCACACACCTGTAATCTCAGTACTCTGGAAGCTGAGGCAGGAGGATCACTGTGTGAGGCCAGTGTGGGCTAACAACAATTTTTTTTAAATGTAAAAACCACAGAACACCCCACTGCCTAATGTCAAATCCTGGAGAAGTGCTTTATTTTCTTCTAAGAGCTTTATGCTTATAGCTCTTCTGCTAAGGTGTGGGGTCTGCTCTTGAATACACGCTCCCCCATCGTGGGCCCAGCCGGGCACCCCGGTACAATCCCTGCAGACTCCCTGATTTATTACCTTGGTGCCCTGCTAAAAATGAACTATGACCCTTAGGGTTTCTGGGTCACAGTTCTATCTTGATCTCTGTGTTGAGCCTGTGGCAGTACAATTTTGACTGTGCTAGAGCTTTCACTGGAAATTTTTTTCTTCCAAATTTTTTCTTGTTTTTCAAGATTGGTTTCACTTCTCTGGACCCTCACCATTCCATATAAATTTTATGTATTAATGTATTGATTATTGGTAGTGCTGAGGATCAAACCCAGGAGCCTGTACACGCTAGGGAATTGCTCTGCCACTGAGCGCCACCCCCAGCCTAAAATTCTTTGAGGCACTCACTGTGTGGCTCAGGCTGGCCTGGAGTGTATTTTTGAGTCTTCCCCTCACTTTTTTTTTTATTATTTTTTTTTAAATTTATTTTATTTATTTTGCATTTAGTGTGTGTGTGTGTGTGTGTGGCCAGCTCAGCCCACCAGGGGGCGGGGCTGGCTGGCATGTGGTGCTGGGGGATTGAACCGTGGTCCCTGTGCTTTGCCAAGCTTGTTCCAAGTAGGTGCTTTAGACCACTGAGCCATCTCTCCAGCCCCTTCCCCTCACTTTCCCAAGTGCTGGGGTCACATGGATATGTCACAGCAATGGTTTCCTTCAATTTATTATTTATTTTGGGGGATAGTTTGAGACAGGGTCTCGTTTTGCAGTCCAGGTGGCCTTGAACTATGTAGGCCCCCTGCCTCAGCCCCGAGCACTAGGACGACAGGTGGGCATCGCCATGCCCGGCCGTAGTTCTCCTGTAGTGGCTTTCATTTGGGTGTCAGGGTAATAGCCTCAGAGAGTGAGCTGGGAAATGGATCATTTCTATCAGCTTCCAACTTTTGCTAACATCTCCAATCCCGACCGGAAGTCTCCCTGCAGGCCACTGCTGCTTTCCTATCTCAGCTTCTCCCTGAGGTGTCCCCACACTGCAGTGGCTCCATCCCTTCTTCCTCCCAGGTGTCCCCACACTGCAGTGCCTCCCTCCTTCCCTTTCTTTCTTCAGAGGTCCCCTCTGGTTTCTCAGTTCCCTCCCCACCCCCCACCAGCCCCTGCTCAGCATTCTGGGTTTCCTTCCTGAGCCGGGCCTTCTGGGATCTCATGGATTTTCAACGGAGCATGGGGGTGCACACCTGTGATCCCAGCCCTCAAAGGCTGAGGCAGGAGGATTCCAAATTCAAGCCCAGTCTATGCAACCTTGTAGTGTAGTGAGACACCTGTCTTTAAATTTTAAAAAGGGCTGGGGATGGAGCTCAGTGTGAAGACCCTGGTTTTAATCCCTAGGACCACAAAAAACACTCCAATGACATTATTTGCAGCTGAGATTAGGAATGAACCTTTGAAATATATGAGAGAGAGAGAGAGAGAGAGAGAGAGAGAGAGAGAGAGAGAGAGAGAGAGGAATGAACCTTTGGGGGAAAAAAAGAATGAAACTTTGCTTCTCAAAGCTCAAAGTGTGTTCCAGGCACCAGCATCACCTGGGAGCTTATAAAATGCATGAAACCTTGGCCTAGACCAGACCAACAGACTCCACCTGCAGTTTAGCCATAGCCACAAGTGTCCTATGTATTAATCTGACACATCATGATGAGCTGCACGCTGAGGGTTCCCAGCCCTCAGTTCCAGTCTCTGTACCCTGCTGCCACGATGACCTACACCCAGCCACCTCCAGCTTAATTAGGTTCACCCTGACAACCCACTTAAACTTGTTCCTCTCCACCACTGTAGTTTTTGGGGTTTTTGTCTTTTTGAGACCGCGTCTTAACTATTCAGTTCAGGCTGGCCTCGAGCTCACTTTGTAGCCCAGGCTGGTCTCAAATTTGCAATGATCCTCCTGCCTCTGCCTCTCTCTACGCCGGGTGAGTACATGCTTCCAAGTCCATTCCAAATGCACCCATGGCACCCTGTATGCAGGCTACCACCCTAATCCACGAGCTCTTTCCTGAAGGCCTACCCAGCCTCTCACTTCTGCACCCTAGTCAGCTCTGCCTCCAGGGCTGGAGAGAACTTTGAGAAACTTCAACCAAGCTATGCAGCAACGCTGTTTTTGAGACAAGCCAAGTTGATTCTGGTCCCAGACCCCTTGAACTCCTTCCTCTGCCTGGAACTTTGTGCCTCCAGATCTCCGCACAAGTGCTGCGGTCATCCCGGTCTATTCAAGAGAGCTCTTCTCTTTTCTCTAAAATAAAAGCCTTTCTTAAAGCTGAGGCAGGCAGATTGCCTCGAGTTCATAGACACTCTGAACGATTGTGAGGCTGTGTCTCAAAAAAGTAAAACGGTTTCTCATTCTGATTAATACGTTTTTAACAATCACCAGTATCTAAAACCGCCGTCTTTTCCCCTTTGTTTTGTTCTTGAATTTGTCTTTTTGAGAAAGTCTCGCTATGCAGGTCAGGCTGGCCTTGAGCTTATTTTGTAGCCCAGGCTAGTCTCGAACTCGCAATGATCCTCTTGCCTCAGGCTCCTCAGTGCTGGGATTACAGGCGTGTGCCACCACGCGCGGCCCACCCGCTTATTGCTCATTTATTCAATGTCCAGCTGTCTGAGGAGACGGAAGATTTCTGTCTACCTGTCTCCGGCAGCGGGGGCGGCGCCAGGGATATGGTTAAATAACTGTCAAATAACTGCGAATAGACGGTGAATTTCTACAAAACGCTTATAATCGGCATCCTCAGATCGGTGCGACCTAACTGGTCCTAGGCTGGAGTGACCCCGGGCGAGAGCCTGGAGCGCTCTGAGTCACCCACGCCACCTGCGCAGCGGCAGATTAGGACAGCGAAGCCGCAGACGCACCGCAGCCAGCCTTCGCCCGCACGTCCCCGGCCCGCACGCCAAAAGGTCACGGCGCCCCGACCTTGCAGCCGGGTCTCTCTGAGGCCACCCTCCCGCGCTGTCAGGTCCCTGACGGGGTGTCCGAAGCCCCAGAGGTTCGTGCCCACCTGCCCATACGCGACCTACCTACTCACGCGACCGGCCGCGAAACCCGGGCCGGTTCTGAGTCGCGCCTGGGCGCCGCCATGTCAACCCATAGAGCTTCCGGGTCACGGACTATCAGGGAGGCAGCAAATCAAGAAAGCGGATTTTGGTAGATCCCGCCCACAAAAGGATAATCACCAATAAAGGGGACAGATGATCCTGGTCCCGCCTCCTGAGGGGAAGCCACGCCCCCACCTGGTAAGCGGACTGCGGAGCTCAGAAAGGTGTTAGGACCGAAAGGAGGGGTTGGGTTTTCCTGGCTGTGAAGATGGCTTTAGGTTACAAAAAGAAAGATGGCTTTAGGAAGCCTGTGAGCCCTGTCAGGGGCCCCAGCAAGGGGGTATTTATAACAGAAATCACATCCAGTTTGGTAAGCAAACTTGTTATCTAGTACAGAACAACAGAAACTGCATTCATTTGACACAGCTGCAAACTGTTTATACCTAAAAGGTCTTTCACAGCTTAGTGATAAGTGTATATTTTTACAAGATACATCTTAAGCTGACTATGTTACAGGAGATGGTTGGGGAGGGAGTTTGTGTTAGCTTGCTGCCTTGACAAGAAACAGTTATTTATTGTTGAACAGCCTTGAGCCAAAAGGGCGAATACATTTCTTAGAGTAGATAACAGGAAGCACAAGGGGTTTTTATAATTTTTCACAGTTAAGGCACAAAACTCTATTAACCCTTTACAAAACCCAGGGGTGAAATATTAAAAGTTAGAGGGATATGGGTTCACTTATTCACTGCACAAGCATTTACTGAGTGCTCACTGTGCCAGAGTCCTAGCCTCTGAGGATACTGCCCTGATGTCTCCTTTAGGAGACTAGACTAATGCTCCAGCTCTGTGATTCTTCACAAATGCTTAGCCCATCTGCACCTCCATGGTCTCACCCATGAAATGGGTCAATTATAACACATATATATATATATATATATATATATATTTAGTAGAGGGTCTACAGAGTCTCACTACACAGATCGGACTCATAGTGGCGTGGTGACGCATGCCTGATATCCCAGCACTTGAGAGGCTGAGGCAGGAAAATCACTGAGAGTTCAAGGCCAGCTTGGGCTGTTACACAGTGAGGTCAAGGACAGCCTGAACTGCATGGGGAGACCCTGTCTCCAAAACATGAAATATGCGCCACGTGCCTATCTTCTGATCTGCAAAATACTCAACCCTCCACTGCCTTCCCCATCTTCCTGCAAACCCAGCGCCAGCTGAATGGCCTCGCAATCTTCTATGTCAGTTTGGGTCTCCTTGTAACCCTTTGTCAGCCCTGGGCTCTTGTGTGTGGGGACACTGGGAGGCCTTCCTGTTCCTCTTCCACAGCCTTCTCTTCTCGACTTCTGTTCTCCTGTCCACAGGGGGTTCTGTTCCTTCTTGTTTATTTAATTAAATTAGTTTATGCAGTACTGGAGATGGAACCCAGGGCCTTCACACTGAGGGACATCCCCAGTGTTTTTTAAAATTTGGGGACAGGGTCTCACTGAATTGCCCAGGTCGGGTTTGAACCTTTGCCCCTCCTGCCTCAGCCTCCAAGAGTGCTAGCTAGGGTTACAGGTATGCTCCACCACACCCGGCCACAGGGCGTCCGTGAATGCAGCAGAGCTGAAAGTGAAGCTGAGTACCCGGAACTTGTTGTGACGCTGCTGTGTACCATGCTCACCACAGTAGCTTACTATCATTCTCAAACCTGATCAGTAGGCAAGCAACAGAAGAGCTGGGGAACGCTTACCTGGCATGCTGCAGGCCCTGGCATGCACCTCGACACCACAAAAACAACAACAAACTGGGCATAGTGCTGTAATCTCAGTTACTCTGGAGATTGAGGCAACAGGGTCACAGGTTCTAAGAGCTGCCTGGGTGAATTAGCAAGACGCTGCCTCAAAATAAAAAGGGCTGTGGACATAGGTCAGCGTGAAGCCCTGGCTTCAATTCCCAACACTGTCAAAATCAGTAACAACAAACAAAAATCCGAAAGACAGGTGTGGCGTGCATGACTGTAATCCTAGCACTTGGGAGGCAAAGTTCAAGGCCAGCTGTGGCGACATTGTAAATTCAAGACCGTCCTGGGTTACATAGCCAGACCTTGCCTCAAAAAGCCAATGAATAAGTAAAGTAAGTTTTAAAAGATGGGAGGGAAAAGCAAAACAAAATAAAACTATATATGTATATATATATACACACATATATAGTAGTTACGATAGCTATACTATTAATTTCTCTTAGTTCATTGAAAGAAAGGTTTGTGTTAATATTGTTTGGACAATTAATTAGTTGCTCTGAGTAATTTAAAGGCAACAACACACAGTGTACTGACCATTACCCTCCTATTATCTTGTTTTGAATTTTTGTTCTCTCTCTCTCTCTCTCTCTCTCTCTCTCTCTCTCTCTCTCTCCCTTTTTGAGACAGGGTCTCACTATGAAGTTCAGGCTGGCTTTGAGCTCATTTTGTAGCCCAGGCTGGTCTCAAACTCACAATGATCCTCCTACCTCAGCCTCCTGAGTGCTGGGATTACAGGCATGCACCACCACACCTGGCTTATTTTTTCTCTTTAAAAATAAATGAAATACGTATATACATACATAAATAAATAGAAGTAACTCTGAGTTCAATCCCTGGTACCTCCAAAGAGAGAAGAAAAAAAAAAAAAATAAAGGAGTTTGGGATATTCTGGGCTCATGTAAAGACCCCCAGTTTTAGGCTGCAGATAACCTACGTGGATCAGCACATAAAGCAGGATCCTGGCAGTTGCCACATCTCAGGCGAGGGTATTGGTCTTTATAAACCCATCTCCACAGTTCTTTACTGTTCCTGGCCCCGGGATCTCTGCCGAGGGCAAGGATGCGCTTCAGGACGCCTCAGCAGCTGTGCGCAGGTGCAGTACATCGCCTCATCAGGACTCCTGTGATTGGTCTAGCTGAGAGGGACTGTAGCCTATCAACTGCTGGTCCAGACTACCTATGTACCCACGCCCCCCAGTTGACAAGACACGTGGGCGGTGAGTAGGCGCATTACTGCCCTCTGGCGGGCATGCCCTGCTATGCGCAGGCGCAGTTCTGTGTGTTCAGCAGACCGTGGGTGACAGCTTGCGTGGACGACAGCTTGCGTGGGCGGTGGTAGGTCGCTGACCCAGCTGCAGGCTTTGCAGTTCCCAATATATCTACTTGTGGCGTCGTTTGGCTTACTATTTATCCTTCCAAAAGCGGTTGATGTTAACCAGGAATACACCAATTTTTTGTATTTAATACCGCAAAACACAGCAATACAAAGAAGGACTAAAACACATAATCTTTAATAAGAAGTTCTCAGAAAAATAATCCCTTCAATGCCCTGAGTGGTAGCAATTGGAGGTAATCCCAGGCCTCTGGGAGGCTGAGGCCAGAGGATACAAATTGGAGCCTAGCCTGGATAATTTAGCAAGACCTATAACTGAATAAAACTTTTAGAAAATAATGAGCATGTATCTCATTGTGAAGGCCCAGCGGGAAAAATAAAAACTAAAAATAGCTTCACAGTGGATGATCCTGACATCACCTTATCCAAGAAAGGAAGATTAACATCACCAGCGATGAGTCTGGTCACATCCTGAAGGTCTTTATACGATGTACTGAAAGGAAACATTGTCACCTCTGTAATCTCCGTCCCACACCTCTACTGTTCTTGGTCCATGAAGTGCTGGGAAATCCTGCCTTTCCTCTGGTTGTGGTTAAATATCCACAATTCTGGGCCGGCGAGACAGCTTAGCCGACTGAGCTCCTGCTTAGGCAAACCCAAGGACGGGTTCCATCCCTGGCACCACATGCCCCTCCCATCACATGTGGCCCCCCCAACCCCCCCAGGGTGCACTGGCCAACAAACCTGGGTGTGGTGGCACACACCTGTAATCCCAGCTCAGGGGAGGCTGAAAATAGGAGGATCACTACGAGTCCCAGCTGCATACTGAGACCCTGTACTAAATACATTTTTTTAAAAAATCCACATTTCAGCCAGTTGTGGATTCAAGTCTTTCTTTCTTTCTTCCTTTCTTCCTTCCCTTAGTACATGGTCTACAGGGGCTCACTACGTAATCAGACTCATAGTGATCCTCCTGTTTTCAGCCTCCCAAGTGCTGGGATTACAGGCCTGTGCCACCACTTCCAGTCTCAATCGCCATCTCAGCATGGCCCGGGGATCAAACACTGGCCGCTGCGCTCTGTCTAAGCAGGCGCTTTAGTTGCTGAGCCATCTGGCCAGCCCCCACTTTCATAGTAGTTATGCACTGAGCTAGTTGCATTCATTCAGTGACCAAGGTTTGTTTGTTTCTTTCTTTCTTTCTTTTTTTTCTTTTTTGCGGAACCGGGGATTGAACTCCAGCCCTTTCACTTGCCAGGCAAGCGCTTATTCAACTGAGCTATCTTCCCACACCCCAAGGTTTCTTATGTTGTTTTGTTTTGCTTTTTTTTTTTTTTTTATGGTGGGGATCAAACCCAGGGCTCATACGTGCAAAGCATAACCTCTACCACTGAGCTGCATCTTTGCTCTGGTAAGCAGCTGAACTCCTGCTATATACATGCAATGTTCCTGGCTCTGGAACAGAACAAAATAACCCAATCTCTGCCTCTATAGGAATTCTAGTCTCATGGGATGGGACAAATAATATGCCAATACATTTGCAAGCTAGATGATCAGCAAAGAAGACACAGGGCTGGTGAGATGGCTCAGTGCTCTAAGGTACCTACTTGGAACAAGCTTGGCAAAGCACAGGGACCGCGGTTCGATCCCCCAGCACCACATGCCAGCCAGCCCCACCCCCTGGTGGGCTGAGCTGCCCCCCCCCCACAAACACACACACACACAAATAAATAAATAAATAAATAAATTAAAAAAAAAAAAGAAGACACAGAGAGAACATTGTGGGGGGCATTTTTGGTGCTGGAGATTGAACCCAGGGCCTTAAGCACACTAGGCAAATGATCCAGCACCAAGCTGCATCCTCAGTCCAAAATTAAAGTTTTGTAGTGTGTGTGTGTCTCAACAACAATCAAGCAAACAAACAAATATGTTCCAGGCGGTAGGGAGCGGCAGTGCAAAGGCCCTGAGGTAGGAACAAATTTGGAATACATCTGGAAGACTCTCGGAGGAATGGTGTCAGAAATGCAACCCAGGAGCAGTGGCTTGGCTTCTCTGAGCCTTGCTTTGCCATGCCTCTGAGTTAGATGTGAGCGTTTCCATCCTGAAAGGCCGGTAATAAGGATTCAGTGAGAATCGTGCAGGGTGGCATGCCTGGTACTGCGGGAACACTGAAAACAAGCTAAGAGGACGGGAAACCAGGCCAAGAGGTGGTGGCAGAGAAAGGCTGCCAAGATAAGCAGGAGTCCCCAGGGCTGAGGGGAGGCACCGGTTTTCCTCTCTGGAGTGTCCTGCAGCTTGGCGCGGTGGCGCACGCCTGTCACGCTGGCGCTCTGCAGGCCGAGGCGGAAGGACTGTACTAACTACAGGCCAGGCTGGGCTACGGAGCAAGAGCCTCTCTCAAAACAAATAAACAACTGGGGGTTGGAGGGGCAAACCAAGCTGTCATGGACTCTCCAGGAAACTTCCTTACAAAATCCCACTCTTGGGCCTGGAACATAGCTCAGTGGCATAAGTGCCCGCCTGATAAGCGCAAGGTCACGAGTTCAACTCCCGGTCTCACACACACACACACACACACACACACACACCACTCTTCTCGCTTAGATGGGAAACTGAGGCACAGGGCTGGAGCCTAGGCTGATAGAGGCCGAGCAGGGATCTGACTTGGGCGGTGATGGGGTTGGTCCCGGGCGGGGTGTGTGGGGGGGGGCGGGATGGGATCAGCGCCCTCTCGCTTCCTTTCTCTCACCTACCAGTCTGAGGCACGGGTCTGCTACAGAGACGGAGAGAGATAATGGACAGGGCGATGAGACGCGAGGGCGGGAGAGACAGAGGCAGAGACAGATGAGACAGTCAAGACCCAGGACAAGGCAGACCCAATAAGGACCGCCCCGTCGGGGGACCCCGGGCTGCCCTGTGGGGGACCAGCCGAGAGCTCCCCACCCCGCCCCCGTCATGCCAGGGATGTGACTTCAGAGTCCGCGCGGATTCTATAAATGGCCAAGCGGCTGCAGACTGCGGACCCGGGCGGAGTGAGTCAGCGCGTGACGTCACCGACACCCAGACCCCCCCAGCCCGCCCCGCCCCTTAAGGCCACGCCTCCTGGTAAAAAGCCCCGCCCGCCGAGGGCTACGGCGGGGCGGGGGGGGGGCGCTAGGCGCCGGGCCTCGCATGCGCAGTGGTGACCTGCGGCCCACAGCTAGAGGGCAGGATAGCGGGACTCGTGCGCGCTTCGAATCCCGGACAGCAGGTTTCAGCTCTGGGTGTCTAACGTAGAACGCACCTCCTCGGGCTCTAACGTAGAACGCACTTCCTCGGGCTGTGGGGGATGTGAGCACAGGTCCAAAGCAGTTAGGATATAGCAGGTGTTAATTGCCGTCTTCCTGGATGCGTTTTGCTTTGACTCCAGCCTAGCGGGACAGTGGCCCTCTGGTGGGAAGATCTGCCTTTTGCCTAGATCGGGGATGCCACTGGCGTCTAGCGGATAGAGGTCAGGATGCTGATTCACACCCCGCAATGCCACAAGGAAGCATTAATCCAGCCCTGCCTCTCAGCAGTGCCCAAGTTGAGAAACGGGGCCGCCGCCTCACTGCCTTAGGGGTTGAGAGAAGTTTGAGTTCAAATTCCACTCGCCCCAGGTCCGCTCTGACACGTTCCCACAGACAGTGGTTCTGTGCCTTGAGCCTCGGTTCCTCCCTCGGTGATAGATGACAGCGGGCAGCTCGGAGGGTGCTGTGGGGACGCAGGGATTTGTGCTCGTGGCTTAGTAGGCGCCCCTCGGACTTCATCTCCTTCACACATCATTATTGTGTGTCGGGTCGCTGACGTGTCCAGTGTCACAGTCATGGCCTTGACATGTGTCGGCACGGTGTCCACCGCTGTGTTCCAGAGCTGAGAGCTGGCCAGCTGCGGCTGCTTGCAGGCGGCCAGACTGGGACAGTTGGGCCCTTCACCCACTCTTGTGGGGCTGGAGAGAGACCCGTGGGTGGCCGGGAAGGGTAGATCCAGGGTCTCTGCTCAGTCGGGATGTTCCGAAGGGTTGGAAGGGATAGATGAAGTGCCGGATCAGGCACTATTGCCTGAAGTCCTCTGCTGAGCCAGACACTGCGCTGGGAATATTGGGGGTAATATTTCTTCTTAGATTTCTTCTTCTGTTTCTCCTCCTCCTTCTCCACTTCTTTCTTTTCTGTCTTCTTTTTTTCTTTTTATGTTTAGTACTGGTGATGGAACCCATGGTCTTGCTACTCAAATATTTTCCACTGAGCTACACCCCAGCTCTTTCTGCTTTATTTTGACACAGGTCCTCACTAAATTGCCCAGGCTGGCCAATCCACCTCCTCAGCCTCCGGAGTAGCTGGGATTACAGATGTACATCATGTTGCCCAGCTGCTGATATTCCTTGTTTTTGTTTTGTTTTATTTTCTTTGTCTTTTTGAGACAGGGTTTCACTATACAGTTCAGGCTGGCCTTGAATTTATTTTGTAGCCTAGGCTGATCTTGAACTTTCAGCAGTCCTCCTTCAGCCTCCTGAGTGCTGGGATTACAGGCATGTACATCCATACCCAGCTTGTAGTATCTGATCATAATAGCTCCATGAGACAGATAGATCATTAGCCCATTTTACAGATGGGGAAGCCCGGAGAGGAGAAGGGATTCACCGAAGCTATATATAGATGGTGATGCCTGGATTTGAGCCTGGGATGC